AATCATAAATCAAACTTTCACTTTTTAATACTTGGTTGCAAATCTTTTCCAGTCATTTACAGCCTGAAGTCTGGAACGCATAGACATCACCAGACGCTGGGTTTCATCCCTGGTGATGCTCTGCCAGGCCTCTACTGCAACTGTCTTCGGTTCCTGCTTGTTCTTGGGGCATTTTCCCTTCAGTTTTGTCTTCAGCAAGTGAAATGCATGCTTCAATCGGATTCAGGTCAGGTGACTGACTTGGCCATTGCATAACATTCCACTTCTTTCCCTTAAAAAACTCTTTGGTTGCTTTTGTAGTATGCTTTGGGTCATTGTCCATCTGCACTGTGAAGCGGCATCCAATGAGTTGTGAAGCATTTGGCTGAATATGAGCAGATAATATTGCCCGAAACACTTCAGAATTCATCCTGCTGCTTTTGTCAGCAGTCACATCATCAATAAATACAAGAGAACCAGTTCCATTGGCAGCCATACATGCCCACGCCATGACACTACCACCACCATGCTTCACTGATGAGGTGGTATGCTTAGGATCATGAGCAGTTCCTTTCCTTCTCCATACTCTTCTCTTCCCATCACTTTGGTACAAGTTGATCTTGGTCTCATCTGTCCATAGGATGTTGTTCCAGAACTGTGAAGGCTTTTTTAGATGTCGTTTGGCAAACTCTAATCTGGCCTTCCTGTTTTTGAGGCTCACCAATAGTTTCCATCTTGTGGTGAACCCTCTGTATTCACTCTGGTGAAGTCTTCTCTTGATTATTGACTTTGACACACATACACCTACCTCCTGGAGAGTGTTCTTGATCTGGCCAACTGTTGTGAAGGGTGTTTTCTTCACCAGGGAAAGAATTCTTCGGTCATCCACCACAGTTGTTTTCTGTAGTCTTCCGGGTCTTTTGGTGTTGCTGAGCTCACCGGTGCGTTCCTTCTTTTTAAGAATGTTCCAAACAGTTGTTTTGGCCACGCCTAATGTTTTTGCTATCTCTCTGATGGGTTTGTTTTGTTTTTTCAGCCTAATGATGGCTTGCTTCACTGATAGTGACAGCTCTTTGGATCTCATCTTGAGAGTTGACAGCAACAGATTCCAAATGCAAATAGCACACTTGAAATGAACTCTGGACCTTTTATCTGCTCATTGTAATTGGGATAATGAGGGAATAACACACACCTGGCCATGGAACAGCTGAGAAGACAATTGTCCCATTCTTTTTGGTCCCTTAGCAAGTGGGAGGCACATATGCAAACTGTTGTAATTCCTACACCGTTCACCTGATTTGGATGTAAATGCCCTCAAATTAAAGCTGACAGTGTGCAGTTAAAGCATATCTTGTTTGTTTAATTTCAAATCCATTGTGGTGGTGTATAGAGCAAAAAAATTTTAGAATTGTGTCGATGTCCCAATATTTATGGACCTAACTTTAGGTCAAATAATGCAAACATATAAAACAATGGCAAATATTGTGAGATCTCTTTGTATTATTAGCGATTGGTCTTCATAGATGGAAGCATTACTGTGTACTCCAGTGACATCTGGTGGGAAAACTAAGGTATTGGTTTACAAGGATCTATTGAAACTATGCAAAGCTACAATTCTTCCCTATTCCTCGGTTACTGTAACCTTTAGGTCCATCGCTAAAAAAAAAAAAAAAATAAGAGAGGGAGATTTACCTGTTCCTGTCAATGCAGCAAATGTTAGATAGAACAAGATATAATCAGAAATTTCTTCAATGGAGAAATGGACAAGAATAAAAACATGTCAGAGTAGCCCACTCTATTCAAAACTAGAAAAATTGAATGTGGAAATGGGCTTTAATATTTACTCCTAATGATCTGGCCCAGCACATTCACTTAGTGAACAGTCAGCTTCAAGTTGTACTGAGCCACATCTACGTGAACACAGACTGCAGCATCTGCCATTGCTAATATTATTATTATTATACAGGATTTATATAGCGCCAACAGTTTGCCCAGCACTTTACAAAATAAGGGAGACAGTACAATTACAATACATTTCAGTACAGAAGGAATGTGAGAGCCCTGCTCGTGGAGCTTACAATCTAAAGTAATGCTACCTGTTCCTTTAAATTGTTTCCCTGAGCATACTCCAAAAACAAAACACTTAGAAGAGTACAGAAAACAGATAAGAGATATCAGCTAAAGGCAAAGGGTCAGGGGATGCTTCTGCATCCATCACCTGAAAGGAAGTCCCTACAAGACAATATGGACATTTCTGTTGTCATTGCTACCATCCTTTATCTAAAAGTCAAGATATTCTAATCTAATATTTAATATTGATACTAAATTATAAATGAATAAACAGCTGCTTTAATTGTAACCAGAATCATTTTTAGAACCCTACAAAGGTTGACTATGGTACCTTGCAAAGGTGACCTGTTGAACTTTGTGAAAAACGTACCCCAAGTGGCTTGCCATTGGGTAATAAATTGCTTGCACTGTATGTATGTAAAGTAATACTATTAAAGTGGACATGATCTAAAAAAAATTAAGATTAGCACATCTAAAAAATGTTGCAATTGTACCCTTTTTTGGGAATTTCCCCCGAAAATTAGCAGTGCACACCCATGGTGTAAGCACCCTTATGCCTTGAGCTTTGTAAATGTATAACTGCTGTGTGAGATCATCTAAGGCACTACTGCTTCTGACTGCTAGCCTCACAATTTTTGGAGAAATATTTGGTGATGTATTCAAAAATGAAGATTAAAACATCTAAAAAATGTTGCAAATGTGCCCTTTTCTTGGAATTTCCCCTGAAAATTAGCAGTGCACACCCATGGCTTAAGCACCCCTTATGGCTTGAGCCTCCAAACTATATACAGTTGCAAGAAAAAGTATGTGAACCCCTTGGGATTACGTGGAGTTTTGCATGAACTGGGCATAAAATGTGCTCTGAATGTCATCTAAATCACAACAATAGAAGAACACAGTCTGCTGAACATAATACTACACAAACATTAGATGTTGCCATGGTTTAATTGCACATAACATGTAAACATTCACAGTGCAGGGAGGAAAAAGTATGTGAACCTTTGGACTTAATAACTAACTGGTTGACCCTCCTTTGGCAGCAATAACCTCAACCAAACGTTTCCTGTAGTTGCAGATCAGACCTGCACAACGATCTGGAGTAATTTTGGACCACTCCTCTTCACAAAACTATTTCAGTGTAGCAATATTCTTGGGATGTCTGGTGTGAATCACTCTCTTAAGGTCATGCTACAGCATTTCAATCGGGTTGAGGTCAGGACTCTGACTGGGCCACTCCAGAAGGCGTATTCTGTGCTGTTGCAGCCATTGTTTTGTTGAATTACTTGTATGCTTTGGGTCATTGTCCTGTTTCATCACCCATCCTCTGCGGAGCTTCAGTTGGCGGACAGATGGTCGTACGTTTTCCTGCAAAATGTCTTGATTAACTCTGGAATTCATTTTCCCATCGATGACAACAATCCGTCCAGGTCCTGAGGCAGCAAAGCAGCCCCAAACCATGATGCTCCCTCCGCCATGTTTTACAGTGGGGATGAGGTCTTGATGTTGGTGTGCTGTGCCTTTTTTTCTCCACACATAGTGTTGTGCGTTCTTCCCAAACAACTCAATCTTGGTTTCATCTGTCCACAGTATATTTTGCCAGTAGTGCTGTGGAACATCCAGGTGCTCTTTTGCAAACTTCAAACGTGCTGCAATATTCTTTTTGGACAGCAATGGCTTTCTCCATGGTGTCCTCCCATGTACTCCATTCTTGTTTAATGTTTTCCTTATTGTAGATGTGTCAACAAAAATGTTAGCATGTGCCAGAGATTTCTGTAGGTCTTTAGCTGACACTCTGGGATTCTTCTTTACCTCATGCAGCATTCTGCGCTGTGCTCTTGCAGTCATTTTTACAGGACGACCACGCCTAGGGAGAGTAGCAACAGTGCTAAACTTTCTCCATTTGTAGACAGTCTGTCTTACTGTGGACACATGAACATCAAGGCTTTTGGAGATACTTTTGTAACCCTTTCCAGCTTCATGCAAGTCAACAATTCTTGATCGTAGGTCTTCTGAGAGCTCTTTTCTGCGAGGCATGGTTCACATCAGACAGTGCTTCTTGAAACCAGTAAACCCAAAACAGGTGTGTGTTTTTTAAGGGCAGGACAGCTGTCAGCAACACATCCAATATCATCACACTGATTGGAGTCAAGGTTCGCTCACTCTTGGCTCCAATTAGCTCTGGGAGAAGTCATTAAGCTAGGGCCTCACATACTTTTTCCTCCCTGCACTGTGAATGTTTACATGTTATGTGCAATTAAAACCATGGCAACATCTAATGTTTGTGTAGTGTTATGTTCAGCAGACTGTGTTCTTCTATTGTTGTGACTTAGATGATGTTCAGAGCACATTTTATGCCCAATTCATGCAAAACTCCACGTAATCCCAAGGGGTTCACATACTTTTTCTTGCAACTGTAACTGCAGTGTGAGATCATCTAAAGCACTACTGCCTCTGACTGCTAGTGTTACAAGGTTTGGAGAAAGATTTGGTGATGTCACTACTGTGTTGCTCACTGTTTTCTTTGGTGGAGATGAAACTGTATCCGAGGACCTGTACGTCAAGGATCTCTCTGATTCTGCTTTGTTCAATCTGTGGATCTGTTTTTTCTGCACCTTATCCACTGCTTCTTGAATATGACCGCACCAGTTATAAGATCACAAGGAATGCACTTCTGATATGAGAAAGCAAAGCCCTGCACTTAGCAAGATGTCCATCTCCACACAGAGGCACAATGGAGAACAAGGGATGGTAAGTCGGTAATGGGGAAAGATCAGCTACAAGGAGGCCACAGGTAATACTGATGACTGAATAGTCTTTTGCCCTCTGCTTGCCTTTTTTTGGCTGAGCGTCCACAGTTCAAGTCCACTTTAAATGCATAACAAAACATATGTGATTATTGATTTTAGTGGAATGATTTCAGTTTTTGAATAGTTTTCTTTTTACATTTATAGAACTATTGACTTAGATCATTGCTTAGTTCGTCAAGCAAGAGAAAATGGAAAGGAGGTTTTATGCGTTGTCATGGAAAGCATCCGCACGACACGTCAATGTTCTCTGACTGTCCATGCTGGCATGCGGGGAGAAGCTATGAGAGTAAGTTTAAGTACTTTCTGTGAAAATAAATGGCATTGATGGAATATCCAATTGAAATATATTTTCATTTTCACCTCAGAAGGTAACATGTCCATCAGGTTGGGTGTAATATGCTTTAATGCATCTTTAAAGGTAGGAGCAATTTTTTGAAAATACGTTATGGCCACCAGAGAACTTGGAGCTTCTTTACATTTTTCCAAGCTCAGAATAAAGCATTGTAGATTCCTGTTTATAAAATTACTTATTTTTCATCTGACTAGATAATAAAAAGCCACAAAGTTCATTTGTGCCCAATACACCATGTGTATCTCTTGTCAATGGGTCTGCACCTCATGAAGCACCCTACACCATACTCTGCTAGTTAGGCTAGCTGAATTTAGTTCTTTTGGCTCTCCTGTAATCAGTGGAACAACTTGTGATTATTGTGGACTGTTCTGGGTCCTACTGGTTTCAGGTTTGACTGCATCCCCCTGCCTTCTGGAGGATTCCGGAATGTATAGTAGTGGGCTGGGAGAGTAAAATAGGCAGCCTGAATGTTTATGTGGTCCCAGCCAATCTCTGGGGTAGTGTGCCTAGTAGGTGACTGGAATGTGCATAAATAGTCTGATTCTGAAGGGAGCAGGGTTCTTGTCCAGGAGAAGTTCCCAGCCTGAACAGTTGTTGACCTTCTGGGTAGTCCAGTTGTGCTTCAACATTTCTTGATCGCGGTCCCAGCTATGATTAAGCTGATGGGCCTGCTCTAGTGCACATCGAGGGGGCCTGTTCTACTGAAACCTGCTGGAACTGATAGAGGGATATCACTGAGGATCTGGTCTGAAGAGGTCATGGGAATAATTTGTGGGTGATATTGGAAGGAGGCATCCAAGAATCCAGGAACATTTGTGAGTACAGACCTGTGTAAGAGATTCTAGTTACTGTGTGCTGCTACTGTCCCTTGTGCATCAGAGCCACCCTTTGCTCAGAGTTTTCTATGGTGTTCCAGTACAACTCAGTCTCCTAGTTGCGGCTGCAAAGACTGTTCTAAGAAGATTTAGGAGGTTGAGACGTGTCCTAGTGTTACTATTTTGTGCTACTGGAGTATCCTACAGCTTCCCCATACCCTATCCAAGTTCAACCTAAAATAAAGCCTCAAAAAAGGATATCCCTAGACTGTTCATTGAGGAGTGGTTGAAGCTGAGTGTCTGGCTAATTATGCACCAGTTTGGTAAAAGAACCTTGAATTTAGTGTTTTTATCACCTGATGTGCAGTCATCTTTAAACCTCAACCTTGATAAGCCTTAGCTTTTTCAGTTGGAATACAAAACCCTAGGGTACCTCAGCAGCATAGGAGAACAAATGTCAAATTACTCAAGCTGTGGAGTTAGAAGTAGTAAGTAAAATCAGTACTGATAGAGTTGGGTGAATGCCATTATGTTAGAGGTGCCATCTTACTGCTGCAAACTTCAGCATCAAGATCCCTAGTATACCACAGTAATAACTATTGAAAAGAGAAGTCATTTTTTCCCCCCTATTTATACTTACTTAAGTGGATACAGCATCAGTCCACTGCTGCATCTGTCCCCCGCCAGCTCTAAGGGTGAGAACTCAATGATCACTTGACCGCTGGGCGCTGAGTTCTCCTTTCCGCTCTGAGCAGAGAGTGGGGCTGTCAATCACCGCTGTCTGCTCAGACCCCCCAACTCTCACTGGAGTGCTGGGCTGTGCAGGGGAAGGGAGCGGCTGGCTCAGGCTCTCAGCGCCTAAGATCGCCTTGTTATAACAACATATATGTTTTCAGGTGGAATATGTCCCATCATCTAAAATAACTTTATTTTTTATTTTCAGTTTCATTTAATTGATGACAAAAACCATAAAGGACGTGACAAAGCTATTGTATTTCCAGCCCATACAACCATAGCATTTAGTATTTTTGATCTGTACATTCATCTGGATGGCCATTTTGGTAAGCTCCATATCCATCAGTATAAGCTATATGTATGGAATAAAAATTATGATCATTTTGTAATGAATGAACAAACAAAGAAAAGGAGGCACCAACCTAAAACCCACAATTAGGATCCAGAGAAGTTGTCTTTAAAATGTGAACAACACTATAAAAAATATATATTATCATGTGAAAGGTGCTATTCTCATCAATGATTAGACTACAAATATTCTAGTATATCACAAAATTATATAATTAATAGTGCAAACACAAAATGGTAAACACAATCTCACTACAAATTATAAACATCAAAAAATGTTCATAGAGTGAATAGTCCATACAGTAGTTTCACGGGAAATTTTTGAACTCCATGTCCCCATAACCATTGATGGGTATACACCCATCACTGGTTATGGGGACAAGGAGTTCAAAGATATCCTGTGAAACTACTGTATGGACTATTCACTCTATGGACATTTTTTGATGTTTACAATTTGTTTATAATTTGTAGTGACATTGTGTTGACCACTTTGTGTTTGCACTATTATTTATATATAATCATAAAATGCAGCGCTCAAATATTATTAAAGTGAAGAAGTGATAAATGTGCAAAAGTATGCGCTAGTAAGTGATACACAAAGTGATGTCTTAATTAAGACAGTAAATATTATAAAGTGACAATGGTATTATGTAAAAACATTACATTGCATAAATATAATAATAAAAATAAAAAAAGTCCATTAAAAATGTTTTCAGAAAGGTGCGTCAGTATTCCCAAATAGGAAGATATCAATCATTCCCATTCAACTTGCATCACATAATAAGGTGTTCGTGACTTCTGTGATAGGCAAAAAAGGGGTGTGCTTGCACTCACCAGACATAAAATATTTTTACGCATGTAGTATATGGGGCACTGGTGGTCACCTGGAACCTGGTGGGGATGTGGCACTCCAACGGCGCTTGGTATACCCTCAGTGGACCCTCTCTGGTAGTAGGAACTGCTTACAGGTTTCACTTACACCCAGCATCAGGTAAGTTCAGCATCAAAGTGAGATCCACCTTAAGTAGCTCAATGAAGCCACCAGGACAAAAGGCTGATATAGTGTAGTATATTTTATTCAGCCAATGTTGATGGTTTGATCAATGATATTACTCCTTAATACGTAACCATATGGGAAGCAGTCAGCAATGTCAGCCTATAGCAAGCATTGTGATTATTTATATAATTTTGTGATATATTACGTGCGGTAAGATTAATAATGTACTAGATGAATATCATCAAAAAGCATATCACATTTCTCAGTAACAACAACTTCCAGGAGAGGGAAGCAAATATCATCACATTCTTTCCAGTAATACTCTCTTGTAAATGGGACAAGACAACACATACGCTCAAAAGAAAGAAGATGCTTCTATGGTGTAGCAAGTTTTTATATGATCATTTTGTGCCATGTGATTTTTATAGAGCAGTCAACCTAATTGAAGGGGGTAGAGGTCCCAAAGCATGAATTCATTATGTATTTTAGTTTGTTACACAATTGGATAAATGTTCTAACCCTTCTCCACTTTGCCTAAAACTAGAGAAAAAAGTGTTGGATAAAGTTACATTTAATTAGAATATAACAATTATTTTTGAAGCCAGGTCTACACTGGAAATCTCCAAAGCATCAAACGCTATGAGGATATCTATTCATCTGCAAATCAAGTGGCCTCCATTTGTAATACTAACTTAGGAACAGTGTATATATTGATCCTAAATTTGCAGAGTGGGGGCATCCATAACCTCATTAGGCTTTAAGAACTTAGAACGTACCTGTAACCTAATGAACTTCAAGTGTTTCTAAGCCCACAACAGTAAAATCAGTCTGTATATGGTTATTTTGATTGTTTGAAGGCATATTTTGGGCTTTGTTCCTTTCCCCCATTTATGTTTAAATCTGGACGGGAAGGAATAAAAGGTGAAAAGGGAATAAATAAGGTATTGTCAAGAAGGCTTTGGATCCTTGTGCTTTCTCTTTTGTTTGATTACTATTTCTGTTACTCTGTCCATTACGGGATGTGTGCATCCACATTGTTCTATTTATGTGTAATCCTGTTGATGCAGTAATGTCATTGTGGATTCTGTAAGTACTGTTCCATTTTCTTTATTATCTTGACAATAAAAGTTGTTTGGATTTAAAAAAAAAAAAAAATCAATCTGTATGTGCAGTAAAGCATGCTTGTTCTACTCACTGTGGAACCTAAGGGGTTAATCCCTGCATTGTGTAAAAAAAAAAGCTGTTTGGCCTGTTTTCTCTGCCCCTCCTCTTGTTCAAATGTCCACCTGATAAAACAGACTGAATCTGTAGTCACATTAACATGCTCAGTTTAGTGTGTATTGCTAGATAAGTTTTTTTTTTTTTTCTTGGGAGAGTGCATGTGATCAGCACAGGGCCAATCAGCACTGTCCAGACAGAGGTCAAGGGTTTTGCATCCTCCTAGAGCAGAAAGAAAACTCCTCTTTCAAGCTTTAACCAGTGCTCTGCTGAATTCACAAGACTGCTCTAACTACTGATGAGAAAAGGTATTTAGTAGTTTATATTTACTAAATTAATTGCATTTCCATGTTGTATGTACTGTGGGAGACCAGATATAGTGAATGCAGGGTCCGGGGTTTAGTAACACTTTAAATGATCTTGGGAACAGCAGATAAGGCTATCATAATTCCATCTAAAGTGTAATAACTTCAGTTTAAAAAAAAAACTAGCATGTAGAAAATAAGAACATTATTTTGTTCCACCACATATTCTTTAGGAGACGAGAGGGAACAATATGATTGTCATATAAATGTAATTCATTCTTACTTTCCAGAGCTATGTGTATCATCTGCATCAAGAGGTGGATTTGAGAAGGTACGCACAAGATCATTCTCATTGAATGCCCTGAGGAACCGTTTATATCGAACAGGCATCTTATTTACTGGTAAGTCATGCCAAGGTGACATTCCAAATGTAACCTATATAACTGTCCACTGGTAATATTTTACAAAGACAGAGAAAAAGAAGAGTTTATCCGGGACAGTTGTATGACATTGCATGATATATCCTGTGCGATTAATTTACTAAAACTGCAGTGTGCAAAATCTGGTGCAGCTCTGCATATAAACCAATCAGCTTCCAGGTGTTTTTTTTTTATTGTCAAGGCTTAATTGAACACGCTGAAGTTAGAAGCTGATTGGCTACTATGCAGAGCTGCACCAGATTTTGCATTTTCCAGTCATAGTAAACTAACCCCAAAGTGTCTAAATGGAGATTTATGCCCAATTGTACTTTGTCAATTGCCAATTTTTCTAGTTAATGTAAAAAAAAAAAATTTGACTCTGGTTGGTATGGACAATTTCTTTTCATAGGTCATTGATACATAAATCCGATAGATCTCTAGTCAGGGCTGCTTGATCTAGATTCTATTAATTGTTATTTTTTCTCCTCCACTCAGCAGGGAATAGCATCTTTTTTGGGTAATACAGATTAAATTCGACATCTTGTAGTATCTGCTCTGAAACAGGATGCAAACCTTTAAATGTAAACCTTTAAACTACTCAATGTGAATTGAGTAGCTTACATTAAATACAGAATATTTTACATACGTTGCATAGTTGTTATTATTATCAATAGCTCTTTTACAAAAAAAAACAAAAAAAAATGTTTTTTAAAATGAGAACAGCGCTCTCTCAGTCAACATTGACTATTTTTAATCCTTATGGTGCTAGCATTAGAAAATAGATAAGAAATGATATGATATTTACTTATTTTAAACCTTTTTTTTTTACATTTCTTCAGTTACTTTCTGGTTTCTGGCCAAGGCAAATTATGTCATCCCATCCCAGGAGTCTTCAGGAGGGGTTTTCTTAGCTAAGCACACCTACCTGCATGCATGGCAGAGCTAAGGGCAGATGGATTCCAGCAAGTGAATGCTCCATGAATCTTCTACCCTTACTCAAGATGGCCATGGCCAGAAATGCTAGGGGGTGTTTTTCAAAATGATTTATCCGCAAAATAAAGCATGGAGACATAAATGGATGGGTGATTTTGCTTTGAATAATAAAAATGAATTAGACAGTGTTTTTGGTTTGTGGTGCTGAGATGCAGTGAAGTTCTGCTTTAAGTTCCAAGTTACCTCCCTGTTATGCTGATGCTTTTACTTCAAACCTTTTAGGGACAAATCATGGCAGATAAGGAACTCTGACTTCCTGATCTGTTCTAAGGGCTGGTTCACACCAGCTGCTTTTCAGTGTGTTTTACAGCGCATCTAGACTGCATGCACAGCATTTACCATGTATTCCAATGGCCCGAGTTCACACCATAATGGTCTGTTCCAGTGCTTTCAACAAAAGTACAAGTTGCTGCATTTTGTTTCACCTAAAACCCATCAAAATGCATGTAAACGCACCAGAATGCATGATGTCCTAATAAAAATAAAGATTTAAGTTTTAAAAAAAATGTACTGGAATGCCTTGAAACACATCAAAAATGTGTAAATGCATATGCAAAAATATATCCAGAACGCTGAAATTGTGGTGTGGACAAGTATGTAAGGCTTGGACTACTGGTCTAAATGTAATGACACCAGAAGGAGAGCGTAACAGGCAGAAAACTTGCATTTTTAACAGGAGGACTCATGAAAAATTACCCTAACTCTATCTCTTACCTTAGCTCATATATTATTCTAACTATTAACCCTATCAAACAATACACAGAGATTGAACATTAAAAATAGTAAAGTATTCTCATTAATCCAGCAGTAGCTGTTCTTTTCAATTCTTCATTTATAGCTTTACATCAGGATTCAACAGAATGGCAAGGCGTTAATCTTTGACATTCAGATTTTGTACATATAGCTTTACACTTGTGTTCAATTATGGATTGGTATACATTACTACGAATTGTGGGAAGTATCAGTTGTCACGGCAGTAGCCATTCTGATTCCCATACATCCTCAGGTTAAAGGTTTGATAAGTAGCAGAAAGAACCATGGTAAGGCAGTGATAGGGATCAGTGTCGGGTGTGCTTTGGAAAAACGTTTTCCCAGCACCTAAAGTAAAGGCTTTACTGGTCAGGAGGGACTACAAAAAGGGGTCAGAATTAGTAATTCTCCTTTCTTTTAAATGTATCAGTAGTCCAGTGTTTCTCAACTCCAGTCCTCATGAACCCCCAACAGGTCATGTTTTCAGGATTTCCCTCAGATGAAACAGCTGTGGTAATTACTAAGGCAGTGAAACTGATCAAATCACCTGTGCAAAATAATGGAAATCCTGAAAACATGACCTGTTGGGGGTCCATGAGGACTGGAATTGAGAAACACTGCAGTAGTCATACACAACAATAAAAGCAAAGTATACTGTAGAACTGCTACCAGTGGGAACATACATGTACCTAAAAGTGGTTGTAAACACTTGCCTATCCCAGTGAAGTGATCAGCCTCAGATGATACACAGAGATGAAAACAAATCCTCCTACATAAGTTGTACCTGTTTATCTGCAAACTTTTCTTCTGTACAGCCATTTAAAGAATTTATACAGGTTGTCTGAGCTTCCAGAAAGCAGGGGCAGAGAGCTGAAGTTACACTCTACAGAGCTCAGCGAGGAGAGCTCTGAGAGCTGATTGGAGGGAAGGGACAGCCCCCCCCCCCCTTCACACTGCACACAGGAACAGAGCTGAGGTTGTCAATCACAAGCTGTGTGCTGAAGTTCCCTGCCCATCACCTCTTTTTTTATTTGGTGTCAGGAAAACTTGTCAGAAGTGACTCATGCAGACAGTAAAGGAACTGAAACAAATACACACTGTAGAAGTTAATGCTTTGTTCATGTCTGAGGTTCACAACCACCTTAACCAATCTTTTAGAGCCACTGAGGCTTAAAGTGTTACTAAACCCACAACAGTAAAATCAGTCTGTATATGCAGTAAGGCATGCTTGTTATACTCATTGTGGAATCTAAGGGGTTATTCCTCTGCATTGTGTAAAAAGGCTCTTTGATCCGGTCTTCTCTGATCCTCCCCTTCTTCCACAGTCCCAAATCCATCTGCTGATAGAACAAAGTCTTGGTGGCAAGCCACACATGCTCAGTTTGGTGTGTATTGCTAAAGAATTTTTTTTTTGGGGGGAGAGTGCATGTGATCAGCACAGGGCCAATCAGCACTGTCCAGAAAGAGGGTCAGAGGTCCTTCAGCCTCATAGGACAATTAGGGAAGAATAAAAACTCCTCCTACAAGCTTTAACCAGTGCTCTGCACGACACTGATAGAAGTGTCAAGACTGCTCTAACTGCTGATGAGAAAAGGTATTTAGCAGTTTATATTTAGTGTGTATTACTAGAGAGGTTTTTTTGTTTCTTGGGAGAGTGCATGTAATCTGCACAGAGCCAATCATCACTTTCCAGACAGAGGTCAGGGGTTTTGCATCCTCCTAGAGCAGAAAGAAAACTCCTCCTACAAGCTTTAACCAGTGCTCAGCTGAAGTCACAAGACTGCTTTAACTGCTGATAAGAAAAGGTATTTAGCAGTTTATATTTACTAAAAAAATTGTATTTCCAAGTCCTGTGCACTGTAGGAGACCAGATATAATGAATGCACGGTCCTGGGTTTAGTAACACTTTAATATGCAGACATCCATTGATGCCCAGTCTAGTATCAGTTTTTTAGTATTCATATAGTTTAAAGAACTGTAAAATGTATATTTATATGACATTGGGCAATCATTTTGAATATAACAGTAAGATGTTTATCTTCGAACAGGAAAAAGGACAATGGACATCATGGTTAACTCAGATTCATACTACGATGATATATTTTCTGACTACTATGACAAGGCTGCCAGCATGACTGACATCTCTACCACTTACATGAGAGAAGGTGCTCACACCCGTGTGAACCTGCTAAACAATAACATCCCCAAGGGACCCTGTGCTTTGTGTGGAATGGGGAACTCCAAAAGAGAGACCGTTTATGGCTGCTTTGAGTGTTCTTTTAATGGGCAAAAATATGTCAGACTCCATGCAGTTCCTTGCTTTGATCTCTGGCATAAAAGGCTCAAGTGAAAGTTGCACGTGACACAATGGTGCTTCTTGGTTATAACTCAGGTGTAACAGTGCCACAGCCCTCATTTCATATATGCAAAATGGACTCTGACCTAAAGGACTGGTTTAAAGGTAACTTCTTGTCTCAGAACAAAGCTATGTAATGAATAGTAACTCAGCAGGCCAATAACCAGTGTCAAATGTATTCAAACATCAAATCATGCAAAAATACATGTAACCAAGAGAATCTATAAAAAAAATGCCAGTAAACTTACATAATATCCACTTGTGCACACTGCAAAGATGTCAGCGCTGAAGGTTACCAATCATTTCCCAGCAGGTGAGCGCACATTTAAAATTCTCACAATTTGGAAAAAGCAAAGCAGGAACAAAAACTTAGTTTATAGGTTTGTAACTTAAAGTTGGCAGCTAGGTCCTTCATTCTCCCCTTGATAAGATAGATGAAACTACAAAGAAATATTATGTATGGTGGCTATAGAAAACACACACGTCTGTGCAAAACATTTTTAGTGCAGTGTATGTAACAGCTGGTTTCTACATCGCATACATACATAAGCTAAGGGTGCTTTCGCACAGTTCCGCTGCGGTCTGACTGCACCATAGGAGTGGGGCAGCTTACCATGCGAGTTTGGTGTGGGTTAGCTGCACTCTCCCATAGGGCTGCATTATGTCCTGTAGATTTGGCACTATCTGAAAGTGCACCAAAGATACAGCATGGTGCATTTTCAGATGTCGCACCAAAACCACCAGACATAATGGAACTCTATGGGAGAGTGCAGCTAACCCGCAGCAAACCTATGGGCTGCGCTGCTCCTGCGGTGTGGTCATACTTGTACAGACCAAAACATTTGAATATTTAAAGATGAACTTCAGGTGCATACAAGGGACACAAATTACTGAAGCTGCGTATTCAAATCATTCATACATACATTATCATTATTTTAATTATTTATTACAGGTACTTATATATCACTGTCAATGTACGCAGCACTTTACATATACATTGTACATTCACATCAGTCCCTAACCCTCAAGGGGCGTACAATCTAAAGTCCATAACTCACATTCATACACATACTAGGGACAATTTAGACAGGAGCCAATTAGCCTTCCAGCATGTCTTTGGAGTGTGGGAGGAAACCAGAGTACCTGGAGGAAACATTATTACATGTACCTTTTTAACTGAAGCAAGAATATAAAGTACCTGAATTTGAGCCGGTAAACAGTTTCTTGCAATCCCCTGTACAGCAGAGTGCATAGAGGACTTGGCAGAAGCAGCACAAAAGACGGTCAGGTGTGCTGCAATGCAAGAAGCGTGCTGGTAAGAGGAAAGAGCAGTGAGATGAGCTCATCAGTCTGTTGTTTCCCATCACATATAGGTGAAATTGCAATGGGGAATTGTCTAGGTCCCTAACCCTGCTAGACAAGGCAGTGCTGTGGGACAGAGCTACTGTATGTAAATCTCTGTATGGTCCCACTAACAAATGATTAGAAAGCACAAGACACAGAAGCAATGGAGCATATGCCTTCCTGAATTCTAAACATTAAGCCTTCCAACCAGCTTTTAGTAGGAGCTGCCATTAGCAATTTTTATTAAAAATGTAAAACAACTAAGAATCTAAAGCCTGTTTCACAAACTGGAGCTGAATGGTACTTTAAAAGCTTCAGGAAAGCTCTGTAAATGATTTGTAAAAGCTTGCTGTTCTCACTGATCTCATACAAGCTGAAGCCCATGTATGAGATCAGTGAGAACAGCAAGCTTTTACAAATCATTTACAGAGCTTTCCTGAAGCTTTTAAAGTACCATTCAGCTCCAGTTTGTAAATGTTGAATAGAGATCTTAATGGGAGTGTTGATTGCCACTTCAAACAAGCTGCTATCATGCTTCAACACTACTTGAATGCCTGCCAAAGCCTACTAGCAGTAGTGTCCCGAGGCAGGTGCGGGGGGTGCGGTCTGCACCAGGTGACACCGGGCCGTTCCACAAAAAGGTAAGTTGTAAAGAAAGCCGACGATCGTCGGCTTTCTTTACAACTTATTTTTTCTTGGAGCGGGTCCAGGGTCACCTCATATAGGTTGCATGCCAATGATCCTCATCGGCATGCAACCTATACGGGGTGACACTGGACCCACGCCAAGAATAGGTACGTTGTAGAGAAAGCCGACGATCCCCTCAGGATGCATCAGATCTGCAGATTGAGCATAATGGATCAGAGTCCGATCCATTATGCTCAATCCGCAGATCTGATCCATTCTGCAGGGATCGTCGGAGGGGGTGTCAAGTGTTACTGCACCGGGTGACACCTACCCTACCCTACCCTCTGCTTACTAGCAGATTGCTTAAAGTGGCAATCAACATTCCCATTAAGATCTCTGTTCAACATTTACAAACTGGAGCTGAATGTTACTTTAAAAGCTTCAGGAAAGCTCTGTAAATGATTTGTAAAAGCTTACTGTTCACACACTGTGTGAAACTGGCCTTATTGGTGGGTCCCCCCTCCATCCATCTGGTCATCTATTAGTAAAGGAAGTTGTCTGTTTATGCCAGCATGGCCCAAACTATTGAACCAGTTGCGGACTGACCCATGTAGCTTTACTGCTACAGGACGGCCGCTCTGTGCAGAGTCGCGTATATATATGATTCTGATTTTCCGAGTAGGGGGGTGCACAAGTGCCCACCTACCTGCTCTGTCATTGGCACCAATACCTGTCAAATCACTGGGTCCCAGCCAGCGATTCATGGCTGGGACCCAGTGATCCGTGGAGCAACTGACAGGAGAGAGATCTGTGCATGTAAACAAAACAGGTCTCTCTCCTGTCAGCGGGGATGTGCCAGTTGCAAAGCAGGGAGATAAAAACCAGCACATCCCTGAGTAAAACACCACACAGCACATAGTAAAAACACTCCCTGGCACACAGTTAAACCTTTATTTATGTATTTATTTCAGGTACTTTGTAACGGAAGCGTAAGCAGGACAGGGCACAGGGAGAAGATGGGGAACACACAAAGCTTTATTGAAACAACAAAACGACAGACACTCAATGGGGAAATGGCAGGGAGGGTGATGTGTGCGCAAACTAGGGACGATTCCAGGCACGGAGGGTCTTCGGCGACTGGCAGGCAATCTCCCCCCTAGGCTTGGGGCCTCAGCCGAGCTCACTCCATGACTGCACCACGGATTGGAGTCTCGGGCAACAGGTGGGCAACCTACCCCTGGGCAGGGGTCTCGGGCCACAGGCAGGCAATCTCCCCCCTAGGCTTGGGGCCTCAGCCGAGCTCCCTGCGTGACTGGACAGCGGATTGGAGACTCAGGCAACAGGCAGGCAACCTACCCCTGGGCAGGGGTCTCGGGACTCAACGGGACTCTATCTGTGGAGTCTGGCCTAGCACAGCTCCCACCCAGCTTTCTAGGGACATCGGGTTTACGGAGACTCCACGGGTAGTGATGGCTCAAGCACTCAGGGGCATCACAGGTAGCTATACTCCGGGCACGCCATGGGGCAGTTCAAGTAAGGGTAGTCTAGGCGTGTAGTAGGGCAGTGCATAACCTAGGTGGTGGGTGCACACAACAGGGCCAGCTCAGGACACGGTGAAGGTTGGTGCACACAACAGGGACAGTTCAGGACACGGGTAGACTGTGCGCACAAGAGGGACAGTTCAGGACACGGGTAGTCTGTGTGCACAACAGGGACAGTTCTGGACACTCACGGTAAGCGGCTTGCAGACCCTCAGCGGCAGGCCGCTCCAGACAGGGACAACCAGTGGTCAGCGTTCCAGGGATGACCAGCGATCAGCAGACAGCTTCCAGGGACGCGCAGCCACGGACAGCGTGCTGGGTCCCTCAGCAGCAGCTCTCAGGGCACTCAGCAGCGGACAGGGTGCAGGAGTGCCCAGGAGACAGGCTGGCAGGGTCTGAGCTGTGGGGTCTGACCCTTGCGGAGGGGCTCATGCAGAGCTGCGGAGACTCCCACCCTGGGTCATTCAGCGGGGGGCAGCGGGTACTCCCAACCCTGGGGTATGGCAGAGGGCTACAGTCCTGACCTTTTGGGGGTCTGCAGAGTACGCAGCGGGGATGGCTGGGGAGGCTTGGTCCCCCTCACCCGAGCCTCCCAGCGTCTTTCCGGGAGCAAGATGATTCCAGCAGCATGGACAGGAACAAAGAGGAGGGCTACTTCCTGTGCGAGTCTTTTAAAAACCATGTGGGACGTGGCTAGGTTGCCTCGGCAACGGCCAACCCAGCACTGTCCATGGAAGCTCCATAGACATCGGAATGTGCAAGGGGGAAGAGAGGGGTGGAGGGATATGGCGGGGATGGGAGAGGCACTGGCAGTCCGTGACATACTTCTATAGCGCTGTCAATTTACGCAGCGCTTTACATATATATATTATATATTCACATCAGTCCCTAACCCTCAAGGGGTGTACAATCTAAGATCCCTAACTTACATTCATACATACACATACTAGGGCCAATTTAGACAAGATCCAATTAACCTACCAACATGTCTTTGGAGTTGATTGCCCCAGATGTTAACCCCTTCCTGCTCAGTGTCATTAGTACAGTGATAGTGCTTTTAATTAGCACTGATCACTGTATTAGTGTTACTGGAAATGTCAGTGGCAGTTAGTCACTTTCCACCCAGTGTCAGTTACTGACAGAATGTCCACTGTACTATCACAGTACTACTATAAGTCGCTGATCACTGCCATTACTAGTATTAAAAAAAAAACAATCCAGTATCTATACCATTTTTTGTGGACACTATAATTTTCACACAAGCCAATTAATATACACTTACTGGTAGACATGCAGCAGCATACATCTTGGCCTAAATATATGAAGAATTTTGTTTTTTATATTTTTATGGGATATGTTTTATAGCAAAAAGTAAAAAATATTACTAATACCCCCCCCCACTAATAGTAAAAAGTAATAGTGAAAAAAACTGTGGTGATCAAATACCACCAAAAGAAAGCTCTATTTATGTAAAAAAAAATTATATAAATGTCATTTGTGTACAATGTTGCATGACCGCACAATTAGCACAGCTTTGTATGGCAAAAAATGGCCTGGTCATTAAGTGGGGTAAATCTTCCAGAGGGCAAGTGGTTAAAGTAGCACAAAACCTAGAATTAGAGGTATAGAGTGCTCACAGAACAGCGACATGAGGAGCTTGGCTTTTAAGGAAAACATTCAGCCAGCACAAATGATCATATAGATGAAGGGGTCCCACCAATAACAGTTTCAGTTATTTTATAGATTCAGTAGAAATTATTGATGGTAGGTCCTACTGAAAGCTGGTTGAAATGACCTGAAAACTGCAACTAGCATTAGTGTTAGGCTAAACCCCGACCCATTACCCCCAAACCAAAAAAATCAAGTCTGGGTGCAGCTGCCTGCAGTATATTGTGCTGGTTTCAGTGGATAATAGGATCCCTATGTATGTCAAATGCTTCACCATTTACTGCTGTGTTGCTTGTAAGAAGACAAGAAGGGAGTAACCTGTTAAACCAAGGAACTTTTGAATTGGTTCCATTCCACTCCAGACCCAGAATCCATCCACAATGGGTACAGATATATACGATTTACATAGCAATCTCTTTCTGGCCAAAGACTTATATGAATGGGATATTACACTCTAATGAACTCTACAGAATATGTTTGCATTATATTAAAGGAAAAACCCTCAATATAAATTTTTGCAATTTTTCCAATTTTTTGTATTTTAGTTGTGTACTATTTTGCTGAGTTTTCATTCACTGTTGTGTAAATGTGCAAGATAGAGTTAGGCTCTCAAAAGTTTGTATATGCACATGTATGTTCTGTGTGCTCTTCTAAGGAGAACTTTCTAGGATCTGGTGGTGGTGGACACATCTAAGCTTTTAAGAGCACTACCTTCTTCACATTCTTCGAGAAAGCAAGGTTTTTATTTGTAGCAAAGCAATCTGTTTTCATTGACCTTCAGCCATCATTCCAAATAATGAACCTAAATGCCATTAATGAACATTTTTTGTTTTCACTAATCTTGAATCCTAGTGGGATCAGGATCGCATTGGACCTCATCCCTGTCTGTAGTACCTGTCAGAAAAATCAGACTCCTTTGGTCTTATAATTTTGTGTGTACTTTTGTGCTGTACTGATTTTGTATTTCAATTAAACATGCTTTGAATATTACCTGCTTTGTGATTCTGCTGCTTTTCTTTTAAGACAGTCATAATTTATGACCATATAACACTTTGGGGCAGTCAGTCACAACAATGAAACATGACTGACTGCAAATTCACATACTGCATGTGGTTGTACCTGGCTTTCTGCCACAAGGGCTACAACTCTATTCCTGCACCTTCCATGCAGCCTTCTTCGTTTGCTCCAGTTCACGAGCCCATCTGAGCTGAAACTGTGTCCAAAAATCAAGAGTCATATTCTTTCACACATTTCATTGATGCTTGCAAAATATAAAAATACATATAAATTCACACATTAATTCTTTTTAAAATATATAATATATTTTTAAACAAGTTAATTATTGGCTATACAGTACATTTTTATATCTGCTGCAATGTGCATGTACACATTGACACCTTCTGATATCCTGGAATGGAGAATACGTGTTGATCCTAAATGGTTAGCACTTCCGCCTGGCAGTACTAGGGTCATTGGTTCAAATCCCAGCCACGTCACCACCTGCCTGGAGTTTGCATGTTCTCCCTGTGACTGCGTGGGTTTCCTCCGGGTACTCTGGTTTCCTCCCACACTCCAACGACATGCTGGTAGGTTAATTGGATCCTGTCTAAATTGGCCCTAGTATGTGTATGTATGAATGTGAGTTAGGGACCTTAGATTGTACACCCCTTAAGGGTTAGGGACTGATGTAAATGTACATTATATATGTAAAGCGCTGCGTAAATTGACAGCGCTATATAAGTACCTGAAATAAATAAATAAATCATGCCAAAAATACAGTAAGTACCTAACTGCCTCTAGTAGGCTTACTGGTCAAAGCTGATATTTGCTGTTAAAGTTCATTGCTTCCCCTTTTTTTTCAGCTTTGCTAGTTAAAGATTTTGCTAACAAATACATCATATTTTACAGCAATCATATTTATTAAAATGTCTGTTTTTCTGCAGTTGCAGCACTTAGAAAAAGATAAAACGCAAGAGCATATGCTTGTATTGCAGAGATGTACTAAATATGTTTTTTTTTTACATTTTGACCAGATATATATTTTATTTTTTGTCTAAATATACACTTTAAATGCAATAGAGAAAAAGCAGCTGCCTTGCCCTGCCAGACAGGGCTAAGTTGTGTATCAGAGCTGTGCAAATATCTACACTGGAACGACAGAAACATAAATCTATTGGCAAGTAAAACAGCTACCATATTTGTTTTTCATCTGTGTATTTCTTCGTTTGGCTGTGGTCCAACCAAATTGGGGTCACCATTCCTGGATAAGCAGCCTGGCAGGGGTAAATCAGAAGTGGTTCAGGAGAATCATACATTTTTGGCACTTAAAACAGTTGACATATACTGTATGTTTTTAATATTTTGGCTGTTTAGCTAGAACATAACATTTGCATAATTATTTCCATTGAAAAAACAATGCAATGAATGAATTTATTTTGGCTTTTTTTTAGTAACAGTGCAAAGAATAGTGACGATACACAACAGGCTGGTGACCCACGATGACCAACCAGATTTCATCATTTTACGGTATAGAACAATGAAATTGACTGTTAACAGTTTAGTACTTTTAATACTGCTTTTTGCTTTATTAAATAAATCTGACCACATTTCCTTGTGATGCAAACATATTTCACTAAATGTATTTAGTATTTCACAGTGTAATTAGGGAAGACAACTCAAAACTGTCAGAAACATGACTTTACCCTGACAGTCCTGATCTGTATACCTTTCTGAAAACGTATTGAAACTGTGTAGGCCTGCATAACAGCCAAGCAGCTAGCATTTTCTGAAGGCAAGTAGCAATGGCAGGCCCAAGGTTGGAATCAGATATACCTTAAAGTAGAATTCCAGATTTCCTGTCACTTTAAATAGTTTATGTTTCAGCCAATATGAAATGATGCAGCTGTTATGTGTGCTATAATCTACTGTAGCATCAGCTACATGAGGAAGAGGCGCAGTGGATCGGCTGACTTCTTGTCTGCTGCTGGAATTAAAAAAAGAGTTGGCTTGAATGCTTCTCAACCATTCAGGAGAAGCCTTGTATTTTTATCAGTGAATAAAAAGGCTTCCTCTGATTGGCCAAAGTGCAAAAGCAGGCAGATGACATCCTGATTTTGACCTTTACATCAATCAGAGGAAGCTTTGTATTCGTTGATAAAAAAAAAATACAAAATCTCCTGAGCGATGGAGACGCATTCAGACCAACTCTTTTATTATGCCAGCAGCAGATGGAAAGTTGCCGGTATGCTGCCAGAACACAGTGCTGCTTACTGTACGTAACTAACAGTATATTATGGCACACATAGTGGCCACATTAATCTGTAATATTTGTCCAAAAGGAACTATTTAAAGATACAGGAAACCTGGACTTCAACATTAAAGAGTACCTTTGCTTTGTCCATGCAAGGCAACCAAGCTTACTTTAACCACTCGCCCTCCTGAGGATTTACCTCCCTTCCTGACCAGACCATTTTTTGCATTACGGTGCTGCGTTACTTAAACTGACAATTGCGTGGTCATGTAACGCTGCACCCAAATGAAATTTACGTCCTTTTTTGCCACGAATTGAGCTTTCTTTTGGTGGTATTTGATCGCCTGTGCATTTTTTGTTTTTTTGCACTATAAAAAAAAAAAAAACTGACAATTTTGAGGAGGAAAAAAAAACAATATTTTTCACTTTTTACTTAATATGTCCAGCAAAAAAAAAAAAAAAAAATCAAATTTTGTCATAAATTTATGCCAAATGTATTCTGTGACATGTCTTTGCTAAACAAAATCTCAATACGTGTAAAATAATTGGTTTACGTGAAAGTTATAGCGTTTACAAATGGCGGTATATACTGGCGGCGATCAGCGACTTATAGCGGGACTGCGGCTGACATTCTGACACTGGGGGTGTAAGGAAATATACAGACAGGAACTGATCCTTTCAGGGGGGGAATTGACTTGGTGTCACTACCATCCCCAGTGACACCAATACAGTGATCAGTGCTAAGAAAAAAGCACTTACACTGTACTAATGGCACTGGGCAGGAAGAGGATAACATGAGGGGCGATCAAAGGGTTAACTGTGTGCAGGGAGTGTTTTACTAGGGGGCCGTGTCAGTGTGCTTCACTAAGCACACTGCTTTGGATGTCTGTGCTGTGCACAGCCATCCAAAGCAGTGTGCCCGAGCTGACAGGGAGGAGAACTGTTAGTAAACAAAACAGTTCTCCTCCCCGTCAGAGATCTTCAGAAATCACCTGGTGCCAGCAAGTAATTACCGGGTGGGACCAGGTGATTGACAGCTTCCTACCTGGAAATGCAAAGTCACATATACATACACACACAAACATATACCGGTATATCTATCTATCTATCTATCTATCTATATGTGATTTTGCGCACCCATCCCCCCAGCAGCACATACTGTACTCAGCTTTCCTTTGTTCTCTTACTGCTCTGATTGGCTGCCACAATCAGAAAGCAGCAGATTGGGCCTTGGGTAAGATAGGAGTCATTCAAGTCATAGCTTACACAGGGCCATGAACATTTTACATGCAACAGTGCTGATGCTTGCTGCTTGATCTGGAGCTGTCAAATATGAGTGAGCCACATGCTTCCCCATACCCAGGAGTATTCTAGCTGGAAATTACAGTGGGGATCACAGAAAATCTCATTGACACTACTGTATATTCTTTTTTACAAGTTTGTACCAACTTACTAACTTGTCATGGCTGCCAATATAAAATACCACCTAAACTAAATCTGGCAATACATACAATGCACATTTCAAAACCATATCTAGACTCATTCATAAAAAATTCTAAAAAAATAAAAATAAGCCACAAATGTGAATAAGTCCTTAACTGAAGATAATGAGCTGATTCATTTAAAACATTTTTTACATTCCAAGAGACCTGGGTGGACACAAATACTTTGTGCCAATGAATACATCAGTAACTATCCATAGTAAAAATACTATGCTATAATTCATCGTGCCTATAAACATTATACTCCTTTGCTGATATGATGCCATCATTGTTGTGGTCATTTTTCTTAAATATGTCAGTTAAAATCCGGCCATGTTCGGAAGGAGCTCGCTGTTTTCCATCTTTCCTAAATTCTTCTGTTAAATAATGACTTATCTGTATGAAAGAAGAGGAAATAATGTTATAGCCAAACTGTTGTTTCAAAAACCAACATACTGTATATCTTTTTCCAAAAGCTGAAACACTTTTGAAGCTTTAAAGGCTCTCCTTTAGTCCATGTTCGATATTACAACCTTATTTACAGTGTAATAAGTTCCAGCACCCCACCTGAGCTGCCCCCTTCCCTGTGCCAATAGGCAGGGGTTCCTCTCTACCGCAGCCACTGTCCCATTTAAAATTGGCATCAGTCACAGGGATCTGCCACTGCAGCGACAGGCAGTTCCCAGTTAACTAAAACTGCGCTGTTTAGCTGGCATCACCAGCCCAATCATCTACAGAGCATTTCCTGCTCTTCAACTACAAGTGCACAAAAGGGGCAGAAATGTTTGTGGCATCATTGACCTGATATGGGTACATAGCCATATATGGGCCACAAATGGGTACACGGCATTAAAGTACAGGTGTACCTCGGTTTACTAAATTTAATGCATTCTCCGGGACGTTTCGTATAGCGAAATATTTGTAAACCAAAATGCGGTTTCCCTTAGGAATGCACTGAAAACCAATTAATCAGTTATAGAGGTCAGAAAAAAGTAAAAAAAAGTCGCCGTCACTATAGGTCAGTGCTGGGGTTTTTAAAAGTAATTACAGCTTTTTTTTTTTTCTTCACTATAGCTCAAAGAATTATTTGTCCCTTTCCCCAGAGCTAAAGGATACTTTGTTTCTTTTATCTCGGGAAACAAACTAAAATGAAACATGGTTTCTTTTAACCCGGGGAAAATTTTGTAACGGGGACAACGTTAGCATTCTCTGCACCACATGCCTATCCCCAGGATATTATATAGCAAATCCCTGGCAATGTACATGATCACAGCAGCAAGACACTGCATCCCCTGCCACTGGCACCCTACAAAACCGCCAACAATAGAAGAATGGTTCCGGAAGAGATAGAAGAACTCAATTCACGAGAAAGACTCTCTAAATTTTCCTCTACCTGGTACAGCTGGACTCATTTTAGCACAACTTCTGTCTATCATGACGTATGTTCACAAGAATGAAGCGTATGCTGTAATCATCAGCTCCTATACCACCCATACTCTTTGGAGGTTCACCTTCAAATCTAGGCAACCCTACTGGACTGATCTGCAACCTGTTTGCAGGGGAAGGGAGAACAAACAAACCTGTGCCTCCTAACTTTAGACCCCTCATCTATTCCCATCCCTTACCTTCTGCTTCTATGTTCTCGTCCCTCCACCTTCTTTTTCTATCGCCTCTTTCCTCCCACTCCTATTCTTCTCTTTTTTCTCCCTTCCTCCATAATGCCCTTCCTCCATAAAACCAATTCTATCTATCCATTCAGTCGTATCCGACCCTTGGCGATTGCATGGACCGTCACTCGTAAGCGACTTTTTTCCATGAATTCTCTTAGCAATGATTTTACAGGGTAGGTTGCCAGGTCTTTCCCCAACCCCTACCATGCAGTAAATCCCATGTGGCCAGGGATGATAAAACCAATTATCAGCTTGTTAATATGAAAAGTTAATTTAGCCAGCTCCTCCTCCCATCCTCCATCCTGAGCCATGCTGTGCACTGAGGATGACAGCAGCGGAGGAGACTGGGGGAAAGGGGGGGGAGGGACCTGTTCACAGTCTACCTGTCACCTGCCTGCGGTCGACAGGTAGACTGCGTTCTATGGGTTGCCGACCCCCGCCCTACGAGTACTAGGAGCAAAAACGGCCCAATTCCTCTCCTAGGCAAACTGGGCATCCAAGACCTGTCAGATCTATATCCATTCTGAAGGTAATTCAATGCTGGACAATAACATGCAAGTTAGCAGATTGTAACCTGTAGGTATTCAAAGATATTAATACTTATAAAAAACTGTATCTGGGATACAGTCATAAACATAGTGACATCCCAGCAGCCACACCTTACACCGGATGATTGGTCAAGTAATTTCTGTCGATACCCTCTTGCAGTGGGGAGCTCTTGTGTAACATCAAACCAAGGAACACCTGTCCATTCGCTGAGAGCCAATGTACCATCTTGCTTGATTGATTGGACTCTGCTGAACTAGGACATTATTAAGTATTCCCATTCTCAACTTTTTATTTATGTACTTATTCTTCATAAAATGCAACTGCTCCAGCTGCTATGGAACTACAATCCTTCATATTCCAAGTTATCCCAGGACGTAGTTCCAAGAAAAACGAAAAGCCTCTCTGCATTCTTATAAACCACTATCAACCTCATTAACAAACATTGCACACCCTGCAATTTTCTAGGCTCATAAAATACTTGGTATACGATTAAACACCAAATCAGTTGAAACATCATATTGCATAGAAGTAATACTAATATTATTGCCATATTTACAATTCTCAACAAGGAGTCATTTGTTACCCAGTAATTGTCATTATTGTAACATAAGAAACCATTAGCCAAACAGTTTAATGAATTAATATTTCATTTAAGGATACTGATGGCAGCTTCTTAAACACTAAAAGTAGATTTGCTTCTACAGAATACCCTACTAAGATCAATGTAGCTAATTGAATATCATAATTACATGGCCATTTACAATGAACATTAAGGTGTACCTTGCTTAACATTTTACTATACTGCATACATTTTCTGATTATGAATGGTGCTTGCTAAATGGCAGTTTTCTCTTTTAACAAATGTACACACCATTAATGAGAAGGATAAGTAATATGTGTTTGTTAATTATTAAAGTGGACCTATAATTAAAATGTCAACTAAATCTATGTGTAATTCCATGTTCAAATTTAGGCCAAACACTGCACTTTTCAGCATTCAATAAAACGTTATTGTTTAAAGAACATCATATACTGCACTTGCAACAATAAAGTTTTACCAAAAAGTGCTGTGTGCAGCCTACATTTGTACTTTAGACTTGTGATTTGAAAAAAGTCCCCTTTATTGGTCTAGCACCCACAGATGCTTGTTGCAGCCTTAAGGGACCTGGAGCGGTGATTTTTGCAAAGTTAAAAACGTAACTGAACAGACTTTATGGCATGAATATTAAAAAAGTGATATGAAATGAGGGAGTCCGGAATCACCAGCCAGCCACGTTGGTAAAAGCAACAGTCTACTTTCCAAAACGTTAAATGAAAACACCATGCTTTAGCATGGAAAAGCGAAAAAGAAAACAGCCCATTTTTTTTTTAGTAAGTAAGCTTTTGGCTGACCACCGTCACATGCTTGTCCCACGAAAGGGTTTTAAAGTTCCTGCCTACTTAAGAGTCCAGAAATATCTCAGGAGCTTAGCAAACGTGTCTCAGTCACAAGCCAGTCTGCACTGCTGTGTCCCACTCCATTCCACCTCGCGTACACCTGCTGACTACTTCCTGTTCCTTTTCAGGCCTCCTGCAAGTGGGTTAATCTTGTTAGAGCCACAGTCCCTGTAGTCAGGGCTGGAGGCTCTTTCCCACCCAAAATCTCTGAGACTCTGAATTACAGATCGAATATAAGGACTTACCTTTCTTGGGAAAACTAGAAGTCAGTTTGCCCCTTTCTAACCTGAACCCCTCACCCTGCATAGGTGAGAACCCCCGAGTACTCCAAAACTGTATTTAAATCATCCCCCTTAGAGGGACCACAGCTCAAAGAGTAGGGACACGTATCTCCTGTCCTGGACCCATCCCCGTCATCCTATAGAGCAGCCTTTCTCAACTGGTTGCCCACACTCCCTGGGGTGCCTTGAGGTTTCTTCAGGGGTGACTTGGCAAAATGTCTAAAAATTGGCCAAAACTTGTATACAAGCCAGCGGGTGGAACAAGCCTGCCTTTTAGTTACACAAAGTCACAGGTTTTCACTGTGCACCATTATGACCTTCTAGCCGCTGGCGTCCTGATAACCAATGACATCATTAGTTGATAAGGAAGATGTCAGCTACCTGCACAGCATCCTAGTTTGACCCTCCCCATCAGTGCTGGGGTCACATTATCTCAGTGATGGATAAAAACTGAGGGAGAAGAGAAACACTGGAATACTACTCATTACCAGTGTGCAAAAGTGTATTTGATTAGGAAGAATAAATAACCTCTAACATTGGGTGTCCTACATGTGTGGATGTTGCTGCATTATATAAAAAACTATTAGAATGGCTTTTTTTCACATTTTAGAATAGGGTTCCTCAAGACTGTCCATAATTTTAAAGTGTGCCTCGGGACTGCCCACAAATTTAAAGGGTACCATGATGAAAAAAGGTTGAGAAACAATGCTGTAGAGTACTGAAATTGTTCTCTTTCCTGAAGGAAATGTTATTCCTCTGGTCAATATTGTAAGCATTTGGTTTTGTGATCTGTTTTGAAGAAGAGGATCAGCCAGCCTGAACTTGGATTCTTCCCTTTGATAGAGATCACATGGTCTAGTGTCTAGGCTTTTGGTCATGTAAGCAGCATTTTCTGCAGGAAACCCAAGTACAAAACTGTTAACATAGCTGAAAGCTAATATTTGATTTAAATGCACAGTTTGTGAAATGATGACATGGACATAAAATCCCACATTTTGCACGATGTAGCTGTGGCCTAAAACAATGAAATGCTTCCATCAGTGCATTAGTGAAATAATACCAAGAGACCGGGGCAGTGTGTCTATAACAGATGAAGGCTATATTAAGAGCAGAAAACATTGCAAACATTCTTAACCTCACAAAGTACCCTTTCCTCTCAGTACAAACCACTTGGCCTCTTGCTAACTAATTACCACTTCTACTAGGCCACCTACACTCTCTGACACCCAGATCTGACATAAAATATATACAACATTTTCAGTACAAGATTTTAACATAGAATAATTCTATTACCTCCTCTTTGGAAAGTTGATTATCATTGTTCATATCAATTTGTTGGAATGCCTCAACGCTGCGTGGCCCTTTGCTGATTCCATACAACTCAATTTCAAAGATCAGAGTTGCATTAGGTGGAATTTTGTCTAATAAGGGAAAAATAAAGCGTATTATGAATATTTTTAAAGATGTATGAAAGAAGACATGAATACATATTTAATCTTCATCACACTTTAGTCCACATTTGTATATATTATACAAAAGTATATAAATATAATACATATAAAAAAGTAAAGTAAATTCCAACACAAGGTCCATTGATATCTATATTAAAATAACTTGAATCTTCCCCACTGCAAATGTGTCTAAACAATTTCTGCTTGGTGCTACCACCAAAAGAAAAGTGGCTCACCCTCTTGTTAGGCTCTTACAGTAAGGTGTCATGTACACAGGGCGTTTGTGTTGCACTTTTAGGGGTGTCAGGCGTTTTTTTTTTTTACTGCTTCCAAACACCCCTCCATGTTATCCAATGTGTCCATGCACACATATACTCTTGACACGCCTAAATGCGTGTTAACACTAGGCGTGTTTGTGCTTGAGTGTTAATTCATTTCAATGGCTAGAATAAATTATTATTCTGGCCAATGAAATGAATTAATACCCAAGCGACTGGCCCTTGTGAACGATCCTAAACGCTTGTAAAAGCATTAGACACTTATACAAGCGTTAGGCTTTTTTTTTACCAAAACACCCCTGCCTAGAGGAGGAGCATGCGCAGCTCGGTGTACATTATAGGAGAGACTGTAAGCAGGCAGTTAGGGTTATTTTATTGCATAAGACACACTGCAAGTCTTTTGTGGAATAAAGATCCTTTTTAAAAGTGGGACTTTAGAGTGGTTCTAAAGGCTGAAGGTTTTTTTACCTTCATGCATTGTATGCATGAAGGTAAAATATCTTCAGTGTACAGCTCCATTTTTTCTCCAACCCCCAATACTTACCTGAGCCCAATCTCAATCCAGACGAAAGCAGAAGCTCTCCCAGGTCTCTGCCTCCCCACTGGTTGAGACACAGCAGAGACAGCCATTGGCAACCACTGCTGTCAATCACAGCCAGTGAGGAGGGGGTAGAGGGGTGGGGCTTAGTCATGTGTGTCTCATAGACACAGAGGTGGCTTGGGAGTGAGCACACACACGAGTGCCCCCTGCTTGCTCTGGGAGCATTCAGCAGGGGGAAGGGGTCTGGAGCGCCAGCAGGGCCTTCTGTGGATGAGATAAGAACATTGGGATGGATATTACAAAAGGACTATTATGAAAAGTGAAATTCTGCCTGGAAAGGGGACCTCTGGCTGTCTTGGATCAACTCTAAGCCCTGAAATCGCCCGCTGTGACATCTACCCTTCAGAGGGAGGATTACCTTTCATCTGCTTACCCTGATCCCATTGAGAGGACATCTATACCTATATATATATATATGTGCATTAAAACTGTGCATCTGGTGAGTGCGTAATTTTATTATTTCCATCTGCACAAGCACCAAAATATCTTTGAAGTAGTCACCTTCAGAAGCACGATTGTCACTTTTAGAACATTTAGATTTTATAACCATATACCCATGAACTTTTAATTTATTTATCATAAAGGCAATTTATTAGATGTATTATTTCTAGCGCTGCACTACGTTGTTTTATTAAGTATGACATGTTTTGTTATTTAATTTATTTAAAAAAAAATGTAAGACTTTACAATCACTTTAATTTGGCTTTACAGAAGGTCAAATAGCGCTCAAATAATCCACCCAAAGGCAACAGCTCCATTCATAAAATGGACCTCTGAAGATATAACCATATCTTGTAGACCAAAATCACAGACATACAAAGGAAAACATTCACAATTGTGAAATATTGCTGCACTTATGCATTCACATGATTCAAATGCAGAAAAACCACAATAAAAAAAAAGAAATCTGTGTATGAACCACCAGCAGGCATGAGGACAAAAACACCAAATCAATCTTTTAGAGGGAAATTTACTAAAACTAGAGTGTGAAAAATTGTGGTGCAGATCTGCATAGAAACCAATCAGCTTCCAAGTTTTATTACCAGAGCTTAACTGAACAAGCTGAAGTTTGTAGCTGACTGGCTACCATGACTGCTGTAACAGATTCTGAGTGCACCAGTTTTAGTAAATCTCCCCTTTAAGCCTAATACACACTATGAGAACATCGGAAGGCCAATCATTCAATTTTCCATGAAAGTGTGTATCATGATGTAGTCAGAATGGTATTGACTGGTAAGAAAATTCTCAGCCAACAAATGAAAACGTAGCTACGTACTAGCATAGTAGAAGATGTGTAGGGTAGGGTTGCTCTATGCTTCTAATCATGTGCATTTTTTTACTATTCGATTATTTCCATACAATAACTGTACACAGTAAACAAAAATCGGACGTGTTCATTTACAATAAAAATTTTCTAGCTTGCAACCTCGGCTTTTGTCATCTGAAAAGTCAAAACCAGCTGTTGAAAGCATTATATGAATGATCAGGTAATCAAACAATCGTTCCTCGTTTGGAAATATTCATACGATTTTTTTTATCATGTGTATGGGCTATTAATGTCTGTGGAATAGGGTGAAGTCATGAGACTTGGCTAACGTGTTCGTGTTTCATCACATTGACTTCCTCAGGGGCTATTGCGAGTTTATCTTATTCCTTTTGATGCAACTGGTGGCGATTGTTTTGACATTTGTGGTGGGGGCTGAAGAATTATGTTTTTTACTACAGATATCAATGAACATTGGGTTGAGATTCACCTCACATTTTTTAGATTTAAGATTTTTTATGCATTTATATAACTTTGTACAACATTGTATACAGTGCCTTGAAAGAGTATTCATACCCCTTGAAATTTTCCACATTTTGTCATGTTACAATAAAAAACGTAAATGTATTTTATTTGGATTTTATGTGATAGACCAACACAAAGTGCCACATAATTGTGAAGTGGAAGGAAAATGATAAATGTTTTTCAAAATTTTGTACAAATAAATATCTAAAAAGTGTGACATGCATTTGTATTCAGCCCCCTTTACTCTGATACCCCTAACTAAAATCTAGCGGAGCCATTTGTGTACACCTGTGTTTAATTTAATCTCAGTATAAAAACAGCTGTTCTGTGAAGCCCTCAGAGGTTTGTTAGAGAACATTAGTGAACAAACACCACCATGAAGGCCAAGGAACACACTATACAGGTCAGGGATAAAGTTGTGGAGAAGTTTAAAGCAGGGCTAGGTTATAAAAACATATCCCAGGTTTTGAACATCTCACGGAGCACTGTTCAATCCATCACCTGAAAATGGAAAAAAGAGTATGGCACAGCTGCAAACCTACCAAGACATGCCCGTCCACCTAAACTGACAGACCGGGCAAGGAGAGCATTAATCAGAGAAGCAGCCAAGAGGCCCATGGTAACTCTGGAGGAGCTGCAGAGATCCACAGCTCAGATGGGAGAATCTGTCCACAGGACAGCTATTAGTTGTGCACTCTACAAATTTGGCCTTTATGGAAGAGTAACCAGAAGAAAAACCATTGTTGAAACAAAGCCATAAGAAGTCCTGCTTGCAGTTTGCGAGAAGCTATGTGAGGAACACAGCAAACATGTGGAAGGTGCTCTGGTCAGATGAGACCAAAATTGAACTTTTTTGGCCTAAAAGCAAAACGCTATGTGTGGCGAAAAAACTAACACTGCACATCACCCTGAACACACCATGCCCACCCTGAAACATGGTGGTGGCATTATCATGTTGTGGGGATGCTTTTCTTCAGCAGGGACAGGGAAGCTGGTCTGAGTTGATAGGAAGATAGATGGAGCCAAAAAGAGGGCAATTTTAGAAGAAAACCTGTTAGAGTCTGCAAAAGACTTGAGCGGAGGTTCACCTTCCAGCAGGACAACGACCCTAAACATACAGCCAGAGCTACAATGGAATGGTTTAGATCAAAGCATATTTATGTGTTAGAATGGCCCAGTCAAAATTCAGACCTATATCCAATTGAGAATCTGTGGCAAGACTTGAAAAGTGCTGTTCACAGATGCTCTCCATCCAATCTGACAGAGCTTGAGCTATTTTGCAAAGAAGAATGGGCAAAAATGTCCCTCTCTAGATGTGCAAAGCTGGTAGAGACATCCCCAAAAAGACTTGCAGCTGGAATTGCAGCGAAAGGTGGTTCTACAAAGTGTCATCTCCGGGGGGCTAAATACAAATGCACGCCACGCTTTTCATGTATTTATTTGTAAAACATTTTGAAAACTATTTATCATTTTTCTTCCACTTCACAATTATGTTTCACTTTCTGTTGGTTTCTATCGCATAAAATTCCAATAAAATACATTTACGTTTTTTGGTTCTAGCATGAATACATTTGGAAAATTTCAAAGGGGTATGAATCCTTTTTCAAGGCACTGTGTACACTGTATGTATGTATGACATGTCAGATGTTTTATTTTATGTTATCATTGTATATGGAGGTATAGGGTTAAGCTTAGAGATTCATATTTTTTTTTAGTGCTTCCTTATGCAGTTTTGGTTCATGTGATATTGGCAAACTCTTCTCCCCAACGACGGCAAGAAAGAAGCAGCAGCAGAAATATGTAGTCTGTATTACAGTGTATGTAAACCCTCACCTTGTAAAACAACCCATTCAGTTTAAAATATAAATGAAAGGTGAACCCTTTGTGTATAGATATAAAAAAAATTAAAAAATACCTTTTTTTCCCCTGTTTTCTAAGTGATCACATACCCTTTAAGCTCCTCATGCATCTGAGAACAGAGAGCTTAGGGGAGCAGAAACAGCAGGACACTGAACTACCCAGTAAATGGCGGGGGGAGAGACGTGGTTTTGTGTGAGCACAAGTCTGATCATTGCAGGAGAGCAGACAATGTTCCTAGCAGAGCTAGGGAACTGACCAAGCTGTGCTCTCATGACTAGTGTAATAGGACAGCAAAGGGACTGGCAGGAACAGCAGAGATTTCACACAAATGAATAAAAAAAAAAAAAAAAAAAAAAAGGATACTTCTTCATATAAGTACGTTGTACAGCATGCACATATCAGGAATATGATATGTTGGGTTTATATACTCTTTAAAAGTGGTAGTAAC